CTAGCTTTGAACATCTTCCATTTGAGGAATTTAAGATCATCCAGCTAGAATATTAGAAATATTAGGATGGGATGTGGAAGAGAAATTAGCGCTGAAAATAAAGAGCTCGAATCATCAGTGTATGAATAGTAGCTGAACCTCTGAAGACAAGTGAACTTGTCCCGTGAAAATGTGTAGCAGGGGAGAAGCAGAGGTTCAAGGACAGCGCCCCCGAGAATGCCAGCATTTAAAGGGTGGACCCTCGGTGGCTCACGCATGTAATCTCAGCACTTTGGGAGGCTGAGGTGGGCGGATCACGTGAGGTCAGGAGTTTGAGACCAGCCTGGCCAACATGGTGAAACCCTGTCTCTACTAAAAATACAAAAATCAGCCAGGCATGGTGGTGGGTGCCTGTCATCCCAGCTACTTGGGAGGCACAAGAATCACTTGAACCTGCAAGGCAGAGGTTCCAGTGGGATCGTGCCACTTCATTCCAGCCTAGGTGACAGAGGGAGACTCCCTCTCAGAAAAAAAAAAAGAAAGAAAAAGAAAAAGGGTGGGCCCCAGCAGCACAGCCTACTGTCCGGGAGTCAGGAGGAAAACCTGAAGGGAATCTTGACCTTGACTTAGAAGCCAAGGAGGAGTCATGGCCAACAGCATCAAAGGCCTCCAAGCACAGCGGAGACTGACAAGAGACCTTTCTTAGGTTTGGCAATTAGAAGGTCCCTGGCCTCAGCAAGAGCAATTTCAGAATAAAAACAAGGGTGGAAGGACTGGTGTTGGGGTCGGGGGATAGAGTAGGAAGTGAGGGTGTAGTACAGGTGAAGAAGTTTGATCACTGGAGGGAATGAGGGAGATGCGGGGGTAGCTTGAAGAGCAGAGAGAGGTTTTTTTTTTTTTTTTTTTTTAGGAAGAAGGAAGCTTGGGCATGTTTATAAGTCAGAGAATAGAGAAGGAGAGGTGGGAGACACAGGGCAAAGAGGAGTCGGTTGGAGACTACTCTGTGAAGGTGAGGTGGATCTGGTGTCTAGGTGGAAGGATTTGGGGCGAAGAGGGAAGGTAGGAGAGTCTAGAGGTAGGCAGCAGGCAGACGGGGGCTCCAGGTTTTCCCTACAGAACTGAGGACAGTGATGGCCAGGCGTGGTGGCTCACGCCTGTAATCCCAGCACTTTGCGATGCCAAGGTGGGTGCATCGCTTGAGGCCAGGAGTTCAAGACAAGCCTGGGCAACATGAGAAACCCCATCTCTACTGAAAATACAAAAATTAGCCGGGCGTGGTGACACATGCCTGTAGTCCCAGCTACTCAGGAGGTTGAGGCACAAGAATCACTTGAACCTGGGAGGCGGAGGTTGCCATGAGCTGATGGCACCACTACACTCCAGCCTGGGTGACAGAGCAAGACTCTGGAAAAAAAAAACAAAAAAACTGAGGACAGTAAGAATAAGTGATCGCTTGTGATCACAGACCCAGCAAGTACACCACGAGCTTCTGCCCCTCTGGTGTTCCTAGACCCCTTCCCTAGAACATTAAGCCATATCACTTTTATGGGTCCAGGGTCTCTGAGGGGCTGGGCACCACACTGTGCCCCTGGGGGCATATCTAGTTCTGCCCCTCTTGGTTTGGCGGGTACCTGCTGAGTACTCGCTGTATGTTAGGCCATGAATGCTGGGCAGCAGGAGGCATGGTTTCTGCCTCCACTGGGCCTTATTTCTTCACCTTGTCCCCCAGTTCTGCCCTTGGGCAAGTTCTGTGGCAGAACTGACCAGTTCCCTTCGGCCAGGGACATCTTGGTTCCTGGCAGAGCACCAAGAAGAGCAGATTGTCTTCCTACCCGGGGGCACCTTTGTCCAGCAGGTCGGGTGAGCTGGCCTCCTGGTGAGAAGCTGGTGCCCTTGGACATGAGTGGATTTGATGCCTGCTTTCCCACCCAGATACTCTACTGTGGCTTTTCTCCAGCCCTTTATGCTCAGAGCTAGACCAGCAATGTGGGGTAGCTGCTGGGAGAAGGCGCCATGTTGTCTTGAGGCAGCAGCCAGCCCCGGAAGCCCTGGAACGCCTGGGGCCACTGAGCAATCCTCTCGCTTGGCCCCACAAGGGGAGGGGGTGGGCTCGTGAAACCCTCGTTGGGTATATAGCAGAGCAAGCCCTAAGACTCGCCCAGTCTGCTTAGCGCAACACTGACGCTATTTTGGAATGAAGACAAGACAATGTAGAACTTTACTGGGGAAGAGGTCGAAGAAGGGCTAATTGTCTTGTTGTTCAGGTCTGGTTAGGGCTGCTCATCTCTGACGCCAAAGGTCTTTTCCCTGGAGGACAGCCCTGGAGGACAGCCCTGGAGGATGTCTGAGTATTTGTCTTTCGCAAAAGGTGAAATGAGTAGTGTTTCCCCACCCAGGCTGCATTTTAGAATCAGGGGAGGTGGGTCACTGGTTTGTTTCACTATTCACTATTCATGCTTGGGCCCCACCCCTAACCAATTAAATAAACATCGTGGAGAGTGGGGCCTAGTAAATGTTGAAGCTCCTCAGGTCATTGCATTGTGCAGCCAATGCTGTGACTTATGAATAGAAAGGAAGATGAAATGCACGCTGGTCATGCAAGGGAGATGTAGAGAGGCAGCAGGGAGGGTGAGAGAGGCTGCAGTTCATAATGTCCTGAAATGGTAGAGCTGGAGGGATCCTGGTTCGGAGCACTGCAACTCAAAGAGTAGTTCCAGCCACACAGCAGGCCCCATTAGGGAGCTGGTTAGAATGCAAATCCCCGACTGCCCTGTACCCCCATCTGGCACCCTCTGAGTCACAATGTGCGCATCAAGGTTTGAGAAGTGTGCTTTCAGATCACCCACAGATCATCCAGACCAGTGGTTCTCAACCTTGGCTGCGCTTTAGAATCACCCAGGGGGCTTCAGCGAATTCCAGTGCTGGGCTACATGAATTAACTCAGAATTTCTAGGTGTTGGGACCCAGATACTCATTTAAAAAAAAAATTTTTTTTTAAGTACTTCAGGTGAGTCTCCTCTTCAGCCATAATCAAGAACATCAGGCTTGACCAGTGCTTCTCAAACTCGGACAGATACATGAATCGCCAGGCTATCGTGTTCAAATGCACATTCTGATTTTATAGGTCTGGAAGGGGGCCAAAGAATCCACTTGTCTAAGAATGGCTCTGGGATGCCCATGGGACGGATCTGGCCTTTTTTGAGCAGTGGGAATAGGCTGACTTCTCAGTTTGACAGCAAGGAGACTGCAGGTCAGAGAGGGAAGTGTGATCGTCCACGGTAACCAGCCTGATACACATTCAGTACTTTCTGATGTACTCTACTGTGTGCCAGGCAGCGTGCTACATGTGGGACTAGAGCTGCGAACGGGACAGACCCCATTCCAACCCCCCCAGAGCTTATATCTCAGTTGGGGAGATGACAGAAAGCAAATAAGTAACTAAGCTGATGACAGATGGGAAATGCCATGAAGGCGAGGAGGGCCGTGTGTAGGGAATGACTCAGAGACTGCTGTGGGGTGAGGGGTAGGGAAGGCATGCCCCTTTCAGAAGAGCTGTCTGGGGAGTTACTAGGACAACACCTTTAACTGGGAACTTGTGCTGATTACAAACTGATCACTTTTCTTTACTGGACAGGGCCAGGCTTCATCCTCTCTGGGGTTTGGGGATGGTGCTTCTGACTCTCCCAAGGGAATCTGACCCTGGTCCCTGCCTGCTTGTTTCCTCTGACTCAAGACTCTGATTCTTCAGTGTTTGTGGGCTCAGAGCGGAGCCTGGGAATGAGTCCGCTGGGGAGCAGGACATTGACTTCATCACAAGACAGGGCTGAGGGTCATTGGTTAATGGTGTGTAAAATGGACCAGACCTCATCCAGATGCTATCCCCAGCCCCTATGAAAACATGGAAGGTTTCCATTGGTGCACAAACACTAGTGTTTGCCTCCCTTTCCTGATCGACCGTCAGATTCACATGGGCTATTTGTGAAAATGCCCGTCCCAGGCCGTACTCAGGCTGACCACGGTGGTCTCCAGGGAAGGGACCTGAAATGTGTTTTTAGGAAGTGGTCCAAGTGACTCTTCCGATCCAGATCATCAGGAAGCATGGCGTGGATGGAAGAAACTGGCACTTGGCATCTGGTGCCTCTTTGTGTGGCTGTGGAAGCCACAGAAATTTCTTCTGCAGTCACTCTGCGGCGTGGCCCTGGCTGAGCTGGTGGTGCTTGTGAGGAAGCCTTTGCTTGTGTGATGGGGGAACAGCAGCTTACCCCTTCCCGTGCACAGTCCTCACCTTACTGTCTTCGCCCTTACTGGAAGCATCTCCTGACTCCTCTTTGGCCGGCCAGACCCTCCCAGCTCCCTGTGCTCCCCATTCAAACACCTTCCCTCCCTGAGCTTACCCCATGGCCGGGTGGGGAGGCGTGAGCACTGTTTGCATTTGGTCAGAGTCTAGAGGGATCAAGGAGCCCTCATGAGGACCGCGTCATAGCCCCACCCTCACTCCCAGCCTCTGGCCTGAGCAGACCTGTTTGGCTGGATTGATGATGGAGAGGCAGGCACTGACCAAGGGACGCCTTGGATGGTGGAGAATAGGTGACCCTCTGTTGGGTAAAATAGGACTCAAGCCCTCACACAGTGAGTTGGCTTAACTTTCGTGTCAACAGTGGGCGGGGGTAGCTGTCTGCCTCCTGGAGCTGGCCCTTCCTGGGTCAAAATGCAGAAGGGGACGGTGAGAAGAACCACACATAGAGGCTGCAGTAGGCCAGCCTGGCTTGGGACCAAGTCTGTGAGGGCTGAACCCTCAGTTTTCCCTTCCATGGCAGGACTCACCTGGATCTCTGATGCCACCCTTGGAGGCGTTAGGAGGAATCCTGGATGAGAAAGGTCACCCTCAGGATGACTGCCCCGGGGAACGGCTTCCTGCTTTCTGGAGGAAGGGAGGGGCGGACAGTGGGTGTGTCCTGCTCCGGTGTCTAGGCAGGAGAGTTTTTAAAGCTGACCAGACACCTGTGACTCCTATTTCCTAGGTGGCCCGAGGCAGCCGGGATGACAGCTCTCCCCAGGAATCCTGCTGCCTGCTGAGAAACATGGTCAGCAAGTCCCGTGAGTGTCGTCCGAGGGCTCCCCCACCCTGGAGGACGGGCCTCCAGAAGCCGTCTTCAGCAGGATCCTGGGACCTCTGGGGGCTGTGGAGGGACAGACAGGGAGCAGGAGCCCTTCTCTTCATCTTGAAGGACACTGGGTACAATCAGCATCAAGCCCTCAGCCAGGGCCAGGAGAGGACCAGAGACTGCTCTTGTTGAGTTAGGGGTCAGAGGGGCTCAGAAGAGGGCAGGTGGGAAGGTGGACGGGGGCTGTACCTGCCTGTTTCGGCCTCTAGCTCCTCTGTGCATGTGTCCTGCAGGCTGGAAGCTCCTGGCCATGTTGGCTCTGGTCCTGGTCGTCATGGTGTTGTATTCCATCTCCCGGGAAGACAGGTACATCGAGCTGTGAGTTCACCTTCCATGTCGTTCCACTGGTTCTTGTCAGGGACGGGGCTTAGGGATGGAGCATCATGGAGCGGGGGACCTAGGAGGGCAGGAACGTTTCAAAAGCCGGCGCATGACCTCATCCCTTCAGCTACTGGTATGGAGTGTTTCCGTGAGGGTGGATGGGGGTAGGGCCTGGGATGTCTCACTGGACCCTCACCCAGGGAGTGCAGGGGCAGGAAGACCTGGATCAGTGGAACTTAACTTGAGATGATTCCTGCTTGGCACCTTGGGACCTTCACGCCATGGGAGAAGGCTTAGGCTGCCTGGAACATGGGCCCCTGGGTCTGACTGGGGCTCCTGCCTCCTGTCCTTTTTTCTCTCCAGTTTTTATTTTCCCATCCCGGAGAAGAAGGAGCCGTGCCTCCAGGGTGAGGCAGAGAGGAAGGCCTCTAAGCTCTTTGGCAAGTAAGTACTCGGGGATGAGGAGGGTGGAGCAGGGCATGGAGCGAGCTGGGATTGAGGGCAGCCTCAGTGTGAGGAGTAGATGGAAGGAGCAGCCTTGGTGGTGGACATGGGTTAGGTGAAGCCAGGGAGGGAAGTGAGGGCCTTATAATATTACTCATGGGCCTAACCCTGCTTCTGGCATCAAGATTAACTCTGTTCTCATCCCCACCCGGCTTTCACCTCTGTGCAGCTACTCCCGGGATCAGCCCATCTTCCTGCAGCTTAAGGATTATTTCTGGGTCAAGACGCCATCTGCTTACGAGCTGCCCTATGGGACCAAGGGGAGTGGTAAGTTCCCACCCAGCTCTGTGGGAACCATGGCTCACCGTGACCAGAGTGCTGCTGCTTCTCTGCTGTCCCTGGCCCCAGTGCCCAAGTTCTGAGCCCGGCTCCAGCAGCAGGGTCAGGGGAAGAAGGGCTCTGAGGAGCAGTGGAGGGAGGGCAGGCAGCCTTCAGAATGCTAGCTGTCGCATCAGTCCCTCTGCCTGGCTCTTTTTGTAGAGGACCTGCTCCTCCGGGTGCTAGCCATCACCAGTTCCTCTATCCCCGAGAACATCCAGAGGTAAGGCGGCACTCCCCCGACTCCAGTCTGGGCACCTTCTCGTCTTTCCTGGCCCTGTGTGAAACAGTCATGGCCTGGCCCAGGGGTGTAAAGTCAGCATGACCGTAAGCAGGACCATGGGGTGATGCCTGCTTCACGGGGACCAGGGGCTGAGGGGGCCTAGGAAGTGGTCCTGAGACGGGCGCAGGCAGATCCAGGGCAGCGAGCGTGCGGTAGAGCAGGGGTGACTTCTGGGCTTGACCACTCCTCTTCCTATGGCAGCCTCAGGTGCCGCCGCTGCGTGGTCGTGGGGAACGGACACCGGCTGCGGAACAGCTCACTGGGAGATGCCATCAACAAGTATGATGTGGTCATCAGGTGTGTGTGTGACTGTCTCTTCCTACTGCTTTTGGGAACTGGATATCCAAGCCAGGGACTGTACACAGGCCCAGGAGGCCTCTAGTGATGGGAATCCTCCCCCCAACCCCCAGATTGAACAATGCCCCAGTGGCTGGCTATGAGGGTGACGTGGGCTCCAAGACCACCATGCGTCTCTTCTACCCTGAATCTGCCCACTTCGACCCCAAAGTAGAAAACAACCCAGACACACTCCTCGTCCTGGTGGCTTTCAAGGCAATGGACTTCCACTGGATTGAGACCATCCTGAGTGATAAGAAGCGGGTAAGTTGGGGGACAGACTGGGGGCTGAGGCCTGGGGGTGGGGACACTGCCCGAGTCAGGACCTCTCGCTCCTTGATGTCGGCCTGGCAGTCCTGAAGAGCCTGTGCGGGGATAGCAAGAACTAGGCTCCTGGCAGTCAGTGCCTTAGGCTGCCCTCCAATGGTGGTGTTCCGGTAAGCCGCCCCAGCAACTGGGTATAAAAGCCTGCAGGCGTCAGGTGGCAGCAGCCAAAGGCACCCATGCTCCAGGGCTGTCTGCGACAGGAACGCTTTCTGAGTAGGTGTTTGCCTGTGAGGAACTCGGGAGCCGAGGAACCCTCCAGCAGCCATCTCTAGGCCGAGGGTAGGTTAGAGCAATGAGGTGTGTGTCCTAACAAACGGTCCCCAGAAAGAGTTCACTACATCACTTTGCCATCGGTCACAGGCTGAACTGTCCCATCTGGCTTTTTTGTCAAGTGTTTAGACAGCCTAAAACTTTAGTTCCTTCTACCTGTGTGGATGGTCTTGGAAGTGGTCCATGGCTTCGACCCTCTGCTTTATACACCTGGTCACCTGGCCTCCTGAGGGGGCGCCTCTCCTCCTCTCTTTCCCTGGTCCTCTCCTGGTCTCCCATCTCTGGCACAGACCTCACCTCCCTTTCCTGTCACCTTGTGTTCCTGAAGGCCTCTGCCATCACTTGGAGCCTTTCGTCTGGCTGAGGACCACTGGGTTGGATTTGAGAAACAGGGCTTCACCTGCTGCTGTCCCTCTTCTGACCCCATCCTCCTAGGTGCGAAAGGGTTTCTGGAAACAGCCTCCCCTCATCTGGGACGTCAACCCTAAACAGATTCGGATTCTCAACCCCTTCTTCATGGAGATTGCAGCTGACAAACTGCTGAGCCTGCCAATGCAGCAGCCACGGAAGGTTAAGCAGGTGATGATGGGAAGTCGGGTCCGAAGGCTAGGGTCCTGGGTGGGATGTAGGAGGGACGTTCCTGTGGGCTTAGGAAGCCGTGGAAGGACCCATAACAGAGGCAGTGGTTTGCATTTTCCCTCCAGGAACACACCTGTCATTAAAGTTGCTGCCGCAAAGGGGAGTCCACACTCTGGAGAACTAAGGGGCGTTTACTGAGTGGGGAGGGATGGGGACGGCCTGGATCTGGTTTAGGGGCTGGTATGAGAGGATGATTTTGGCAGGCTCTGGTCAGAATTTGTCAACTGGGGAGTTGCTGGAACAATCAGTGGTCTGATCTGTGGAACAACTTGAGCCATGCGGTTACTATGAGATATGCCTCATCTGTGATCTGATCTTGAAACCCTGGTCTGAACGAGTTCTAAGAGTTGGAGTTTCAACAGTTTGTCTTGCATGTCATGGTTTGGGATGGTGTGTCAATTCAGGGAGTCAATGCAGTTTTGCAAGTTATGGGTTTTTGTTTTGTTTTAGAGATAGGGTCTCACTCTGTCACCCAGGATGGGGTACAGTGGTGCAGTCATAGCCCACTGTAACCTCGAACTTCCAGGCTCAGGTGATCCTTCTGCCTCAGCCTCCTGAGTAGCTGTGAGGCTACAGGTATGCACCATCACGCCTGGCTAATTTTTAAATTTTTTTGTAGAGATGGGGGTCTCACTGTGTGGCCCAGGCTGGTCCCAAACTTCTGGCCTCAAGTGATCCTCGTGTCTCAGCCTCCCAAAATGCTGGGATTACAGGTGTAAGGCACTGTGTCCGACCACAAGTTATGTGTTTCTTCTTTTTAACCTGATGTCCTTGAGCCATAGCAAGTTATGGTTTTGAGTGCAGTGCCCTGGTAGTCTTCAGCTGGTGGGCTCTAACCCACTTTGTAGCTTCCCAAGTACTTCCACCCATATCTTGGAGCCTCTTGGGGAGGCCGTGTGGGATGGTGAGAGACAGGTACCAGCAGACACAGGTATGGCGCTTGGCTGTGCTGTGTACTGTGTGGGGCTTGGCAGGTCAACTGCTCAGAGCCTTGTTTTTCTTGCCTGTATGGTGGGATAATATCCATAATGACCTTTTAAGGCCTGTTGTAGGATTTTAAAAAATAATGATGTAAAATACCTATTCTGGAGACCGATACACAGGGCCTGCTCTTTAAATATTTGCCAGATTTTGAATAAATGCTTTTATTGTTTACTGAGCATCTCCTGTTATTCCATGTTCGGTGGTGAATAGCTGCTTTTGTGACTGCTCAATGCCAGGCCCCGAGTCTGCATGCTTGGTGAGGAGGTTGTGCTCCTTGCCCTACGGGACCTCAGTCCAACAGAGTAAGAATGCAGCTTGCACTGTGGAGTGATAAAATTCCCCAATGGAGAGTTGTTCCCAATGTCGTGGAATCTCAGAGGAGGGACAGACATCTGCTGAGAGAGATGTCTGGGAGGCTCCCCAGAGGAGGTGATGCTGGAGCTGGGTCTGGAAGGATCAGGCAGAGAGCTGGGGAAAGGCATTTGGCCAGAGCCAAATTTGGCCAGAGCCGGCGGCATCTCCAGCACTGAACTGTTCCAGTACAAGTGGCACTGAAGGGCAACAAGGAGGAGTTTCATGCCATGCATAGGATTACAGATGGAGAGGAGGCTGGAGAGGGAGATGAGAGAGGGCCAGGACCTGAACCCAGCTCCTGGCGGTGGAGAGGGAAAAGGAGGAAATGGACTCAACATTGTATTGGTTTTTTTTTTTTTTGAGACTGAGTCTCGCTTTGTCTCCCAGGCTGGAGTGCAGTGGTGCCATCTCAGCTCACTGCAGCCTCTACCTCCCAGGTTCAAGCGATTTTCCTGCCTCAGCCTCCCAAGTAGCTGAGATTACAGGCACGCGCCACCACACCTGGCTAATTTTTGTATTTTTAGCAGAGACGGGATTTCGCCATGTTGGCCAGGCTGGTCTCGAACTCCTGACCTCAGGTGACCTACCCGCCTCAACCTCCCAAAATGCTGGGATTACAGGTGTGAGCCACTGTGCCCAGCCTGTGTTAGCTTTCCATTGCTCCTTAACTAATACCACAAGTTTAGCGGCTAAAACAGTACCCACGTACTGGCTCGTAGTCCTGTAGATCAGAACAGCAGGGTTTGGCTGGTTCTCTGTTTAGGCTGTCACAAGGCTGGACTCGGTTTGTCAACCAGACAGTTCTCATCGGGAAGCTTAGGGGAAAATTTTGCTTCCAGGTTCATTCTTGTGGTTGAAATAATTTGGTTCCTGCAATTGTAGAACTGAGGTCCCTATTTCCTTGCCGGCTGTCAGCTGGAGGCTGGGGGCCGTGCTCGGCTCTTAGAGGTGGCCCACATTTCTTGCCATCCAGCCTCCATCTTCAAGCCAGCGATGGCACAGTAGATCCTTTCTGTGCTTCAGATCTCTGACCTTCTCCGCTTCTGGTCTTGACACCCGGATTTAAACGTTCAGGTAATTAGGTCAAGCCCAGCAGGACAGCCTCTCCTCTTATGTTCAACTGTGCCATATAAAGTAACGTCACATAATCGCATCATATTCACGGGCTCCCCACACGCGCCAGGGAGGAGATCACACGAGAGTTAGGGTCACCGGGGTTCTCTTACGATTCTGCCTTGTATGTTTTACAAGTGGAATTGAGAGATTTCTGACCAATTCTGGGTTTCTAGCTTGGACAGCATTGGGGATGGTAACATATTTAACTAATAGAGTGGCAGGAAGAGGAGGAATTTGGTGAGTATAAGGAGCCTGTGACCAGGCAGAGCTAGCTAGAAGGCCATGGAAGTGTGTCAGCCCAACTGGATGAGATGACACACTGGTGGTGAAAGCAAAAAAGGTGGAAAAAGAAGGCCCAGCCAGGGAGTGGAAGATGAGAAGACAGGAGAGCTCCGAGAGGGAGAAAGCTGGCATGTCGACAGTCCTGATGAGGTCCAGGAATGGCTCCCAAACGGGTATGGGCAGCTGAAATTGTGTGCAAAGTAGGTTACTGAAGCTGAGGAAGGCGAGGTTGGAGAAGTGAGAATATCAGGCTGCCTATCACTGCGGATGAACTAGGCATGAGCAAGTGAGGTCCTCAGAGCAGCCAGTAAGGTGGATGGGAAAGGTACTGCTGTCCTGCTTTGAAGAAGGAGAGGCCAGGCACGGTGGCTCATGCCTGTAATCCCAGCACTTTGGGAGGCAGAGTGGGCAGATTGCTTGAGCCCGGGAGTTCGAGATCAGCCTGGGCAACATGGTGAAACCCCATCTCTATTAAAAAAAAAAAAAATAGAGCGCCACCCCCATAAAGGGTCGCACAGCTAGTGCATGTCAGAGCCCCCAGGTCTTCTAAATGAGGTCAGGCTCTCCAAGGAGGAGGACAGAACACTTCCTTTCCTTTGAATGTGTTGCTTAACACTTTTGTAAGCCCCAGTTTTCTCATCTGTAAAAGGGGGCTAATAATAATATGTACCTCTAGGTGTTTTTGTGAGACTGGATGCGATAATGTCTTATGGTAGGTAGGTAAAATACTAAACATAGTGTCTGGCACATAGTGTTTAAAAGGTAACTAATATGATGATGATGGTCATTCTGATTGTTAGTCTTATCTCTAGAGGCCCCAGGCCTCCCCCAGGTGTATGGAGCTGGACCATCCAGAATGGTAGCCACTAGGCACATGTGGCTATTTACTTATTTATATTTGTTTATTTTTAGAGATGGGGGTCTTACTATATTGCCTAGGCTGGAGAGCAGCGGCTTTTCACAGGTGCATTCTTAGTGCATGACAGCCCAGGACTCCTGGGCTCAAGCAGTCTTCTGACCTCAGCCCCCTGAGTTGCTGGAACTATAGACATATGCACCTCTGCACCCAGCACATGTGGCGATTTAAATGTACAATTTAATTAATTAAAAATTAATAAAGTAAATTCAGTTCCTTAGCTGCCCTGGCTCCATTTGCATGCTCATTAGTTGCATGCTCATTAGTTCATGGCTTGTCTTGCTGGACAGCACAGATGGAGAACATTTCCATGACTGCAGAAAGTTCCAGTGCAGAGTGCTGGCAGAGATGATGGAGGGAGGAGCAGGGCTCCCGCTAACGCTGTTTTGCCCCTGTTCCTCAGAAGCCCACCACAGGCCTGTTGGCCATCACGCTGGCCCTCCACCTCTGTGACTTGGTGCACATTGCCGGCTTCGGCTACCCAGATGCCTACAACAAGAAGCAGACCATTCACTACTATGAGCAGATCACGCTCAAGTCCATGGTGGTAAGTGCCGAGCTCGTGAGCACGGTGGGGCAGGGGGCGGATGGGCAGACAGTCAGAGGGACACTGGGTGAGTGGGAGCAGCGCTGAGACCCAGAGGTGGCTCCTGGAGTCAGAACTGGAACCGAAGCATCTGGACTCCCTGGCCAGCATCCTCCATGTCCAGCCACATGGATTTCGTCTTCCTTCCAAGAACCAGCCTGGGAAAGGGAGCTCCCAAGAAGTGTGGGGCCATGGGGAGGGGCAAGGAGACTTTCCTGGGGACAGAGAGGTCCCTGGGAGTCCCTCAGTTTATTTCCTTGGCTGTCTCCACAGGGGTCAGGCCATAATGTCTCCCAAGAGGCCCTGGCCATTAAGCGGATGCTGGAGATGGGAGCCGTCAAGAACCTCACGTCCTTCTGACCTGGGCAAGAGTTGAAGCCTGTCGGTTGCCTACTCTGCTGTCTGGGTGACCCCCGTCCGTGGCTGTGGGGGTGCCTGGTGCCAGTATGACCCACTTGGACTCACCCCCTCTTGGGGAGGGAGTTCTGGGCCTGGCCAGGTCTGAGATGAGGCCATGCCCCTGGCTGCTCTTATGGAGGCGAGATCCAGTCAGGGTGGGGGCGCTGGAGCCGTGGGAGCCCGGCCAGGGCAGGGGGCTCGTTGCTGTGGCACCCCCTCTCTGCCAGCACCAAGAGATTATTTAATGGGCTATTTAATGAAGGGGTAGGAAGGTGCTGCGGGCTGGTCCCATGCATCCAGGAAAGAGGCCAGTAGGGTATTCTGCCCACTTTTTATAAAAACCTAAGTGATGGCCCCACCAAGGCCTAGACACAGCACCGGCCTCCCAGGAGGGCAGGGGCATTGGGAATGGGTGGGTGCCCTCCAGAGAGGGGCTGCTGCCTCCCAGCGGGCATGGGAAGAGCACTGGTGTGGGGGTTCCACCGAGAAGGGGACCTCATCTAGAAAAGAGGTTACAAACCTACCATTAAACTATTTTTCCTAAAATGGAAGCAGTTGTGATGTCCTGTGTCCTTTCAGGTGGGGGAAGGCATGGGATGGGGTGTAGCAGTGGGCAGGCTTGTTAGACCAGAGCAGGGCATGATCGCTTGGGAAATAATTACTTATTGAGTCCAGTGTTGGGTGCCTGGTCATGCATTATCACCCTGGCACAGCAGGAGAGCGAGTGGTGCTCGCAGCAGCCCTGTCTGCAGACACCCAGCCTGGCACCCTGCATTCTGGGTTACTGCCAGAGGAGGGAGGGGCTGGAGGATGCCAGATGAGAGTGCCAGAGTCTGCTCCCACCTTCCTTCCTCTCTCCCCCACCATTCTTCAGTTACCCAAATCTCATGCTTGGGAGGTACGTGTTTTAAGGACAGGGGTGGGGTCAGACAAAGAAAGCCAAATTTCCCTTCTCAGATTAAGTGGGAACCAGAAAATGGAGTTTATGGAAGGTCTTGCCAGCAGCCCAGGCTGCCAGGATGGGGTGGGCAGGCCTGGAGGGCAGCGTCGAAGGGATTTGGCAAGGCCTATCAGCCAGTTGCCGGGCCAGGGGATGAAATGGTTTCTTTCCTGGGTCTTTAGAATCATAACAATCCTGCCGTTTGCCTGTCTCTCCCGCCCTCGTTCTCCATCTTCCCAGATCCTGCTTAGCTGCCAACTGGGCTTCCCGCCACCCCACAGCTGTTCCTTTACATCTGGAGCCAGGAGGGAGAGCTGGAGCTCCCCGCTTGGGGAATGGAACTGGCAGCTGTGTTCCTGGCTTTCTCGGAAAGACTTGCAGCCTGGAGGTTTTGAGACAAGCCAGGCTGGGACAGGACAGATAAAGAGGGGCAGCAGTTTGGGAGGAACAGAGGAAGATGACATGGTTCTCCAGAGTGTTGGAATGGCCTTGAGGACACCCACATTATCCCCCAGAATGGCCCCAAGGACCCTCCCAGGGAATAGAAGGCCTGCTCTCTCAGTGGCCTGGCCGCTTTGCTCGGGGAGATGGGAGTTCTGAGGGTGAGTAGAGCCCCAGCATCTGCAGCCCCAAGCCCGCTCCCCTCCACACGGGCACACTTTGTCTTGAAGGCTGTGTCCTGGGGAGGGAGCCTGCAAACAGCAGGGGTTGTGAGTGTGTGGGGGGGTCTCAACTCTGCTCACCCCTGATGCATCCCCAGCTGCCGCTCATGCAGAGATGCAAAGGAGTGTCCTTTTTCCCATCCAGGGCCATTGAGAATGGCTGTCTGCATACATGATCCAGCTGGCCTGGACTGAGGCCACTGCCTGTTACTGAACGTGCCTAAACTCAAGCCAGAATCCGGCACACAGCGGTGGGTCAGACCCCTCCAAACTCCACACACGCACACATGTAGACATGGGAGCATTTTACATTCTTGGTGGGTTGTTTGTGATTCCGTGTGCAGACAGTCCTTCCTGCTCACATACTGAGAAGACTGCGAATGTGGGGTGTGTGTGCACCCAAATAGGCCATTGTTTGCTTGGGGGGGTGGGGATAGCTTTCTCCTGGGTGCCCAACATCCTACGCATATTGAGGCAATACTGGCCAAGGGTCGGAGCTGAGAGTGGAGCTTTGATGTGGGGCTGTTGGATGGGGTTCTTTGGTTTTCTGGGAAAGGGACTTTCAGTCTTCAATTAGCCCAACCAATGCGAATGAACTGCCTGCCAGCCTGCCTGGGATTGATTAAACCATGCCCTGGAAATGAGGAAGGGAAAGAGCACAGTAGGGCACGTGCTTGAGGGCAAGTCAGGAGATCTGGGTTCTCAACCAGCCTCTGTCGCCTTATTCTGTAAGAACGTGGGCCAGTCATTTCTCTGCAACAAAAGGGTGGGTTCAGCTAAGGAGAACCGCTTATCTCGGAATTACCTAGGGAGACCTGGGAATGGAGATTCCCGGGTCTCACCCAGGCTGCTGGGGACAGGACCCACGAATCTGGAATTTCACCAAGCACCCAGCAGCACTGCTCTAGGAATCTAGACCCAAGGATCATCGTACGAGCCTCTTGAGTCTATGGTCTGCGTGTCAAGCCTGCGCTAATCCCCGGCGTCCTTAGGCGGCGTTAATTAGGCGCACGCGCAGTTTCCTTCCCCCCCCCCCCGCGGGCGGGCGTTGGGAGGGGGAGGAGCTACTGATGCAGATGGCCCCGCCCTGGCGGCGGGCCGTGCAAGCGCTGTCCGCACCGGCGCTGCGTCGACCCTCGCGGCCGTGGGAACCCGCCTGGAATCTCGCAGGGCCGGCCGGGCTTCGTCCAGGTTGCCGGCCTCCTCCCCGGGCTTCTCGGGATGCTGGCCCCGGCGCCCCGCCTCAGGCGAGGCCGGCCCCTCCCTGGCAAGCGGCTCAAGGCTTGGCGACGGCTCAGGGGAGGCCGGGCGGACTTGGGGAGCCGCGCCCCTCCGAACTCTCGCTGGGCCTCCGTCTTACGACCTGCTTTGGGTTCACCGCAGAGGCCGGGGTGAAACCGCCTTAGGCTGCGAGGGAGTGGAAGAGCTCTGCCCCATTGAATTTAGATTCTGAAAGTCCACAGAGGGGAAACTGAGGCCCGGAGGAGAGAAGGGACTCCCCCCTCCATCACCTTGCTGGGCAGGATAAGAGTCAAGGTCTGTACCGCAGGAACACGTGTAAATGTTACTCTATGTTCACATCACATGAGGTGCCTTAAGTTTGGACGCTTAAGGTTTTATTTACATTTTCCAAGGACATAAATACATTCCGTTGCTTTCCTCCAGAGGCTGCCTAGCCTACGAAGAGTTTGAGCTTGGAAGCAGGTTTTCCTGGGAGACAGTAAGGTGCGGTGCACACCAAATAGGGACACGGTTGGACTGTGAGTTCAACTCCCTACTCTGTCGTTTAATTAGCCGAGTAAACCTCTGCTTCTCCATCTGCAGAAGAATGATTATGCATGTCTCTCTCACAATGAGGTTTTAAGGACCTAATGGGAATATGATCATAAAAACATTTTGTAGACTGTAAAGTATGATATCAATATTAATTGGAAAGCTGCCTTGCATCATGGAAAATGCCAGAGGGTATGAAACAGGTTAGGTACATTTGTAGGGCCAAATACTTGTCCAGGAAGTAACATGGCTGGTTACAGAAAAGTCTTTGTCTTCAAATCACCCACAAGCTAGGCAGGGGAAGGTAAGACATCAGTGAAATGACTGCAACACAGGCTTTGCGTAATCAAACCATGAACATCGTTTAAATTGCTTTCTATTGGTGGTTTTCTTTTTTTCTTTTTCTTTTTTCTTTTTTTTTTTGAGACAGAGTTTCACTGCTGTCACCCAGGCTAGAGTGCAATGGCACGATCTCAGCTCACTGCAACCTCCGCCCCCCAGGTTCAATGGATTCTCCTGCCTCAGCCTCCCGAGTATCTGGGATTACAGGCACCCAGCTAATTTTTGTATTTTTAGTAGAGATGGGGTTTCATCATGTTGACCAGGCTGGTCTCAAACTCCTGACCTCAGGTGATCCACCCACCCTCAGCTTCCCAAAGTGTTGGGATTATGGGCATGAGCCACCGCGCTCGGCTGTCAGCGGTTTTCAAGTTGAAGTCGGACACCTTTAGGGATTCTTGGGGAAAGAGTTTTCTTGGGAGACACTATCCATTTCAGTGGTACCTAGCATGCCACAGTAGATCCCTAAACAAAGGTTGAGAAGTGTAACCTGAGTTTGTCAGCTCTGTTCTGATCTCTCCAACCTTTCTGAAGTCTTCGTTATAGCTTCAGAAAACTGTTTGTTAGTTTCCAACATTCCCATGATTCTGTACCAGATGTGGTTCCAAGAAATCAGACCTTTCTGACCTATAAGTTTAAGGAGGGTATGCAGGTGGTGTGGGTGTGGGTGTGTGTCTGTCTGTCTGTAGTTATAGCCAGTTTTCCTGTCCAGTTCATTCTCATTGAGTTTATCTCTCTTGTTAGAGATTTTTGGGATCCTGCACCCAATAAATAAGAAGAGGAGATGAACCTTGAGTCTCATTAGATGACAGATTTTTGAGAAGCTCAAATGTATGGGAAGGTTCCACTTCTTCACTTCAAGGGACTGCAGATGGTGTGAAGCAGGTGGGAGAGACCACAGTGCAAAGAGGGCTATTACAACAGGGCTTGGCAAAAATTTTTTAGGGAAAAATGAACTTCGGGAGGCAGGTGCTGTTTTTTGCCCCATTTCGGGTTCCCAGGGAAGGCTAACAATGTAGACCCCCACCACCTGAACAGAGATATAGCTTCTTCCCAAGAGCCTTGGAAGGCTGGGAGGGTAGAGCTGGGTGGAGAGAATGAGAGCAGTCTCAGATGTTGAAACAACCCTAGGGGTTTGCAGTTGGAATTGCTGAACTGAGTTAGTCCAGAGCCATCTATCGTTCTGAGTCTTCCCAAAACACTGTTTACACACATCACCAACTTTCACACTTAAGGAGTGTCTCCCCCTGTTTCTCTTCTTACTAAGCATAGAGCTAGTGGAGTCTGGTTGGAGATACCCTTCAGGTCTGTGCTCCTTTTCTCAGTGAATTTATGTTGCACTGATGGAGCCCTTGTGTGGCAGGAGAGCTAGAGAAACTTTTATTTATTTATTCATTTATTTTATTTTTTTGAGACGGAGTCTCACTGTGTCTCCCAGGCTGGAGTGCAGTGATGCGATCTCGGCTCCACCACCCGGGTTCACCCCATTCTCCTGCCTCAGCCTCCCGAGTAGCTGGGAGTACAGGTGCCTGCCACCATGCCTGGCTAATTTTTTGTATTGTTAGTAGAAACGGAGTTTCACCATGGTCTCGATCTCCTGACCTCGTGATCCACCCGCCTCGGTCTCCCAAAGTGTTGGGATTACAGGCATGAGCCACCACACCCGGCCGAGAAATTTTTCATTTATATTAAAAGTCAAATAGGAATCCCTTATCTGAAAATTCTGCTTAAATCATTATCTATATCACTTTATCTCTACTTGCCTTCTTCTTTTATTCTCTGAAGTGCAATGCCCATTATGTCAGACCTCTGAGCCCAAGCTAAGCCATCATATCCCCTGTGACCTGCACGTATACATCCAGATGGCCTGAAGCAACTGAAGATCCACAAAAGAACTGAAAATAGCCTTAACTGATGACTTTTCACCACTGTGACTTGTTCCTGCCCCACCCTAACTGATAACAGTATATTCTCCTCTGCCCTTAAGAAGGTACTTTGTCCGCCTATCCCAAACCTATAAGAACTAATGATAATCCCATCCCCCTTTGCCGACTCTCTTTTCAGACTCAGCCCGACTGTACCCACATGAAATAAACAGCCTTGTTGCTTACACAAAGCCTGTTTGGTAGTCTCTTCAGACGGATGGACGTCACACATTAATGTCTCAAAGGGCAGCAGAGCCTAGCCCTTTAATTTCCTTCCAAAGGTAGTGAAGGTGGTAACTTTTAGTCCACCTGGACTTTGTCTCATTGAAAGTCTCATCTTCAGACTGGGCATGGTAGCTCATGCCTGTAATCACAGCACTTTGGGAGGCCGAGGCGGGTGGATCACCTGAGGTCAGGAGTACGAGACCAGCCTGGCCAACATGGTGAAACCCCCATCTCTACTAAAAATACAAAGAAAATTAACTGGCCATGGTGGTGGGCACCTGTAATCCCAGCTACTTGGGAGGCTAAGGCAGGAGAATCATTTGAACGCGGGGGTGGAGCTTGCAGTGAGATAAGATCACACCACTGCACTTCAGCCTGGGCAATAGGGCGAGACTCCGTCTCAAAAAAAAAAAAAAGAAAAAAGTGATCTTCAGAGGGATGAATCCCTTCCTATATTCAGCTTTTATCCAGAATAGTACTTTTTCTCTTGCATAATTGGGAATAGATTTCGGATAAGCTCCATTTAATTAAACTCCAGTTCTTTCCAGGAACATCTGGACTTCCTGAGACCTCACTAACCTTCTTTTTGAGCACTAATAGAGCACCATAAAGAAGACAGTTAGAAAGAACCATTTTTTGAATGTTTTCAGCATTCCAAGATGTTGCCAGGGGCCGTAAGGTTAAGGAACAGCGGAAGGAAATCCTATTTCTTGTCTGGTACTCTCCAATCAGGGAACTCAAGGAAGCTCTCTACTCAGGGATTGAGGGTGTCTCAGCCCTGTGGGTGGGCTGAGTGGACTGTTTCCGAGAAAAGCACTGGGAACATAGAGTGGCAGGCAGATATTGGCAGAGACATAAATATAACCAGGGAGGTAGATGACAATTTGGTGATGTATCTTGTGAATGGTGTATATTCACAGAAGGCCTTTTAAAGATGGAGGCTGTGGGAGTAGGAGAACTCTAGGGCTTGTAGTAATGAAAGCTTTCAGTGTATGTCAAAGAACTTGGCTGTTAGCGAGGATGGGAGGAGGGCCAAGGAAGAATGGCAGTTAGAGAGGGAAATAATTAATGGTTTTGCAGCAAACATGGACTTGGCCAGGAAAACAATTCCTTATTTCTAGAAAGAAGAGGAGCGTTTAAAATTTTTTAAATTTTTCTCTGTTTATGACCTGGTTAGGAGCACTGAAACATAAGGAGTTGGGGAAAAGATGGTTGGAGGCTCACTGGAAATGACAGGCGGCTATCAGTGAACGAACTCTTTATGAATGACTCCCAGAGACTGCTGCTCATTTTGATTTGAAAGCTGCAAATCGCTGGTATGTGGTTACAGTTCCTAAGAACAACTTAGATAAGAGGCTTTCAAAAGAGGTTTTGAAAGGGGAAGTGAAATTTAAGATTTAGTTGTCATTGGTCTACATCTAAATGTTTGTTTCTTTAGATATGCACACCAAGGCGCATTTAAAATAAAAAATATTTGCCGCTGGGCGCGGTGGCTCAAGCCTGTAATCCCAGCACTTTGGGAGGCCGAGATAGGCGGATGACGAGGTCAGGAGATCAAGACCATCCTGGCTAACACGGTGAAACCCGTCTCTACTAAAAAATACAAAAAACTAGCCGGGCGAGGTGGCGGGCGCCTGTAGTCCCAGCTACACAGGAGGCTGAGGCAGGAGAATGGCGTAAACCCGGGAGGCGGAGCTTGCAGTGAGCTGAGATCCGGCCACTGCACTCCAACAGAGCGAGACTCTATCTCAAAAAAAAAAAAAAAAAAAAAAAAATTGCAAATTAAGATAGTCTTTATTTAAATTTTATATTTTTATTTCAGTAACAAGTGTGTTTTATAGGGAAAGCTCCCAGAGAATAAACTAATCTCAAGACTCCCTTTTATCTTTTTTTTTTTCTGGTGCCAGGACAAACCACACACATAATACCTGGAAGAACTAATCAAATGTGTGTGTGTGTGTGCGCACGCGTGTGTGTACCTTGTGCCTTTGGTTCTGATTCCATAATAGCAAATGCCCCAAGCAGCATGGACTCCTCTCCAACTAGGAAATGAGAAATAGAATTTTGGTCGGCTCCTTTGTCCTGTTCTAAGAAATCTCCCAAGGACTACACCATGTTTATTTTCATTTCCCTGGCTCCTTTCCATTCTGGAAACTTAAAATCGGCTTCATGGCCTCTTGCTTTATATAATTTGTTCAAAAAGGCTTCGTCAGAAACGGATTTGATGTGACATTTTTGCTCTTACTGTGAAAGTACTTCCTATTCCATGAAAGTAGAAGAGGTGGTGGAAATAACCCTGGCCTTGGCAGACTGATCTTGAACCTGAGAATTAGAGACTGGGCTCCCATCCAGTGACTCTGAGCCAGTAATGAAGTTTAAAGCTATTGGAAGACTGGATGCTGGCTTTGGTAGAGGTGGGGGTGATTTGATACACAGAATAGCTTTGTTTCCCAGAGCCTTGTGGTCTTTCAGGTCATTTGAGGACTTAGGGTGGAGGAAGCCAGTCTTGCCTTCCTCATGGAGCTATGCTTGTTCTTGCCTGGCCTGCCCCAGAGCGCATGGCCTTTACCATCAGCCACTTCCAGCCACATTCTACGATGAGTGTGGCCTGGAGTTTTCACTGTACGGCGGAAACATCTCGTGACGGAAATCATGTGTGTTTAAATCTCATGTTTGTCACTCGTTAGCGCTTGACCCTGGGCAAGTTTTTTGACTTCTTTAAGCCTCAACCCACATTTGTAAAACGGTGATACTTTGTAGAGTTGTGAGGATTAAATAAGATTACAAATGTAGAGCACTCGTTTTATTTAATGTGAAATCACCTACAGGGGAATTCGGGGATTCCCACTGCCTTTGTTTCTTGGCACCTCCCTTCACCAGCTTTTCTGCACCCCCACTCCTTTGTGAGAAGTAGATAGTGCTGGAGACAGCTGAGGGATGCACCCAGCTCAATCCGGGCTTCTCAGTGCCCCAGAGTCCTCCACATCCCCCTCATTTTTTCCCTCTCTGCTCTTGTCTCTCACAAAGATCACCCTTGCGACCTCCTATCCCTTGGGCTATTCTTCGCTGCATTGGGCCTTGGAGAGCGCTCAGAGGGTTGGGCATCCAGCAGCCTAGTGTTTGCACTTGCCCTGGAGCGCTCTGCTCAATCCACATTCTTACCCTGGGTGTGCTGAGGGACAGGAAGAAGGGCTCATTTTATAGAACACATTTCTTCCCCATTCTGCTGGTTTATAACTTTGGCTCCCAGGAAAGAATGGAAGGATGGACACCTCCACCCTATTAGTGCGCTCTCTCTCTCTCTCTCTGTCTCTCTCTCTCTCTCCTCCTCTGTGTGCATGTGTGTATAGCAGGAGCAAGGGGCAGGGTCAGCTGTGTTGAGGACTAGGAGGTAGATGATCTACCCATATCCAAGGTGGGAAGACCAGGAGAAATAAGAGAAGTAAATGGACAGATCCTCTAAAGTCATCTTTTCCTTATTCCAGCACACCAAGGCATTGTGCATATGGTCTTGGATCTTTGTTCTCTGTTAGCCAAGGGAAAACATATATGGAAAGAAAGAAAGAACGCTTGCTGAGATTAACCTAGAGGGGGCAGGGGCCAGCATCCTGATGTCTATGCTAGGCCAGCATGGTACCAGCAGCAGAATGTGGGCTGTGGACGTGCACTTAACATTTCTGATCAGTTTTTACTCCCTCAGGCTTGGGGGCTGCAAAGGAAGCTAGCCAGGTTTCTGGGACATTTTGAAGCACTTGGAAATATGATTGAAACAGAAAATTCCTCTGAGTGGAGGAGCTATGTAGGCTGTGTATAGAATCTGTGGATTGGGACCATCCAAGGAATCAGTGTCTGGAAAGCAGCACAAGCTGGTGTGGTGAAGGTTCCCATGATGGGTAAGGACTACCAGGGAAGGTTGGAGAAGAAAGGTTTAAAACTGACGAGGAACCTCCAACCCACCTTAGGGACAATTTGGGTTCTTTAAAGTTCCATTTGGATCCCAGTCCCTCAACGAGCACTCGAACTTGCCCCTGTTTATCCATCCCATCTGCCATGACCACATCAAGGCTCTTCTTAGAACATTATTTGAGTTGTATATTAAAGTGTTAGGGTGCCTGGTGGTCTAGACTGTTTCTAGCGGGTCTTGTTCTCTGAACCTTTAGAGGAGGAAATTTTCCCTGCTGAATATTGCTGAGAGGAAAGGTCCGGAATGGCCTGGCCAGCGTCTAGTGTGACCACTCTGCCTCTGAGCTATATTTGACTGAGTCAGGTGGTTGGTGAGTCCCACGCGTCCTCTGGATTGGGTCTACCCGCAAAGGAGAGGAGTCAGCCTGTAGATTTTATTGCCACCACAACCAGAGCTGTCAACTGCCTTCAATGTCTAGGAAGACTGAATCAAAGGAGGGCAAAGAACCTTGGGTCCCCAACGCATTCTGTGAGCTCTTGGGTTCTTCCTGTGGTGCTTTGTAGGAACAAAAGAACAGAACAAACATGTTGGAGTACTGTCCCTAACATTTATTCTCAGGTGGTGACTGGGAGGGGTGAGGTGTAGATATACTTCCTCTCTTCTCGTGGAGCCTTACTGAAGACAGGATCGTCGTTCTTGTGTTTATCAGCTGAGAAGGGCAGTCTCGCCATCTTAAAGACCTGCCCTCCAGCCCCTTCAAATGCCACACCTCGCAGGAAGCACTGTCTGCACAACTGTTCAGAGAACCCTGACCAGAGAAGCTCCCG